TGATAAACAGTAAGGACATTTCCTTCCTACTTACTTTGCAAATCTTCTAGGGAACACACCAAACTCCAGGCAGTCATTTGCTGTGATGTTTTGTTCCCTGAATAACACAAAACTCCCCCTTTATGTCAGTGTTGCTCTGGTTTGCTGGGTCAAAATCCACGTCTGGCCTGAGGGAGATGAGTCGTTTGCCCGGGTGCTTCCACTCCTGCTGCACATATAGAAAGAAGAAATATGGGGAAAGTACTATAACAACATATATCATGTAATCAGGTGGTAAAAAAAGGTGAGTGCAATTGAAAGTAAGGGTATTCTTCTTTAATTTAATGCAACTATATTTAGTGATATTAGTGGTTTGAGCATTGCTGTACATCCTCCCAATGACTAGACATTATCTGGTTCCACCATGTGGACTCAAGAGAATGTAACAGCTCCATCTTTTCAGGGAGGAGGCAGCACTTGGACCACAGTGATTGTTTCACACAGTAGACCTGAGCACACAGTTTGCTCCAGCTCAGAGCATGGGCTCATCCCAGCCTAAGAACCCCTGAAGGCTAAATTATTAGAAACAGCATTACCACAGGATCTACAATGGCTATCATGAGATAATCATCACACATCTGGATTTTTAAGACACAGAGCATAGTCCAGTGCTTTCCAGTCCCTGGTGACATGACCTAATAGCAGCACGCCCCTGGAGCTGCGCTAGTGCAGCACTCTGTGCTGGGGGAAGGAGGCACTGCTGGGCTGGGAGAGCACACAACTGGCAGCCCATGGCTGTGATTTACACAAAGCTGTTTGTGTCTTGTAAATAGATTTCTTTTCCTTCAGTGGTAGGGAGCCAGGAGATGCATTGGTCAGCAGCAGAACAGAGAACATCTTGGTGCAGAGCCAGGAGCAGGGGAAGGACAAGCCTTCCAGCACAGGGTACTCACATGGCTTTTGAAATGAAGAGCTGCAGCAAATGTGGAAGGGTAAACAAGGCCAGGAAATCTGCTGCTGTATGAATGAACTCCCTGCTATTTATGATGCAGAGTTTCCAGGGATGTTGCTGTGGAGCTGGGCTCCTGCTGGGCAAATGATTCTTCCCAAACTGAGGTGGGTGCCATGTTATCATTCCCTGGCTCTACCTGTCCCTGTCTGGCTGCTCCTCAAAGCTCTGGCTTCAGCCCAATCTTCTGCCTTCTGAGCAGCAAGATTTAAATGGTCCTTATCATTCAAATGACTTGACTTCAAATTGAAATTTTAACAACTGATTAAATCAGCTCCCTCTGAAATAATGGTGTTGGTGTCTGGGAACAGTGCAGCCAGGACTGAGATGCTCAGTACAGGCTGCAAAACCTGCTGGAAATGCATGACAGTATTTAGGTTGTTTATGACATTCACCTCCCATTTCCTCATGCTGTTCTTTCACCTGTACTGGGTGGCCGAGGCTGTGCATGCCCTTTGAGCTGAGATGAACTTTTGGGGTCAGCTGCCCAATGGCCAGGAGGTGCCAAACTGTTTGGGTCACTGGTGTCCTCTGCCTGCCCTGCAATTCATTGCCACCATTTCTCTCACCTCTTACTTCTTCTCCCTGGTACCTCTGCCACTACTTCAGCATCTCAAACCTTTTTTTCTGTTTCTCCTTCCCTCTGGAAGTTGCCGGATCTTCTCTTCTCTTCTCTTCTCTTCTCTTCTCTTCTCTTCTCTTCTCTTCTCTTCTCTTCTCTTCCCAAGGAAGTGATGTGGGCTCATTTTCCTTCTCCAGTCTTCACACCTGGTTTGTTCCTTCTGTTATGAATAAGAAGCTTGACTAGGCCAATATTCAAGCAGCAATCAATTTATTATTTAATATGGTAAAGTATGAGTAATACAGCGCTGGGTACAGTGGGGGATATTTTCCCTCCAACTGCACACAGATAATTGATGGTTACAGGTATTTATAGGGGTACTCATCAGCTTTTTTCAGCAGTTTCTATTTCCAATCTTTTACTCATCAGCAATTTTTATTCCAAATTATTACATCACAATTCTATACACTACTGTGATTTTAATTTCTCAGGATGTATCTCAAAGGAGTATCCCCAGATGGTGACGGTCCAGTTTCTGAAAGAAGAAAGACGAATCCCATCTGGTGGGGTCCAGCTCCCCAGATGTGTGTCCACCTTTTAATTGCAGAGACTCTAAATCTCATAACAGTGATGTCCAGCTTCCCTTTGGTCGAAACCATAAACCCTTGAGGTGATGTTCATCTTCCTTTCTCAAGCTGTTTTGCTCTGCTTCCATAAGGCATGAGATAAGCATATTTCCTTTATATATATTCCAAAGTTATAGTTTCAAGGATACAAGTAATATTCTAAAATTGTACTTCAAAAGGTTATTATTGCAGAGCTTTTTATGGATTAAATGCAAGCAAAAAGCAACACCTTTAACACCTTAATTCCAATGCTCCTAAATCAACCAGGGTTAATTGCAAACAAAAGATAGGTTCAAAGGCCTGTTTCCATGCTTTATTTTCCTCAGTTATTAGAATTCGCAACTATCCCATTGTCAGTGTCCACACATATCGCAATCACAAGTACACACGTCCCCTGTTTGTACCTGACACGAAACACAGCTTTGCATCTCACACAGTCCATCCAGGTATGTGTAATCCAGTTCCTGATGATCTGAACACACGGAGCAGGGCTCAGCTGCTGTGGGGGGCTCAGGGAAGGCAGAGTGTGCATTGTCATCTTCCTGACCCTACAGACGAATCAAAGCGAGAAGCCACAGGGTGGAAATCAGTCGCATATATGCTAAATAAAACTTGCAGATTTTTTTAAGAATTGTTTTTGCTTGTTCTTTGTTGTGCTTCAGTGCTTAGAAAACCTCTCTTTAAAATCAGTTCAGTTCATCAGCTGAACCTTTGTTTGCAGACCCTCAGTGAGCAGAATTTGTTGCAGACTCAGTGCACGCTGTGCCGGCCTCCCGGGAGTGTGAGGAGCTCACGTGTGCTGCTTTTTGCTTTAGGACGCTCTGAGGTATTTATTCCTTTTGGGATACATGATGAGAATTGCCAAGAGACGTAGTTACAAGGTATGACATGGGGAAAAAGCCTGTGTGGTTGGAACGTTGTTGCTGTCAAAAGTTAATTTTTCCTTCTTTCTTAGCCAGTAGTTAGCTTTTTGCTTAATTTTTGTGGTATCATTATTTTATTGTTTAAAAAATTCCTTCAAAATCACTTTGGTGGTTGGTGTTGGCCACCAGTACCTTGTTCAGATTTGCCTATTTGCTTGTAGCTAAAATGTTCACATCTTGTTTATCATTCCATTTAAGAAACTGCTGCCCAGCCAACTAATAGCTGAATATCCATCTGTCTAGGACACGGGGAGAGGATTTAGGTAATGTCTTTGTTTCCAGAAAAAAGTTGTAGTGTAGTTTCTAAATAGAGGAGAAGGGGGTGAAGACGCGGGGCTCTGATGCCATTGGGGGCACCCCAAGGTCCCCAGGAGAGGGAGCCCCGCTGCAGTGCAGGAGCAGGTGTGTTCTCATGTAATATTGAACAAATTATAAATATAAATATGAAAATTATAAGCATGAAAATATTTTTTAAAATAGTTAAATAAAACGGGGGGGTTTTTTTGTCAATAGGCAGTGTTTTGATTGTAAAAATTATAAATACAAATAATATAAAGGGAGAAATCTAAGTATAGAAATATAAATATATCCAGATATATATAAAATTTAAAACTATAAGAAAAAATTAGTTGTAGCAGTAGATGTGATACATAATATAAATAATAATTTAAATACTTTCCTAGAATTATATATATAATATATATAATTATTAATATAATACATCAAAAGAAACAATAAATATAAATGTGAATATAATTATACAAAAGTATAAAAATATTTCAATATCGTTCAAAAGAAGGCTTTTTTGTATTTATTTGGTTAGAGACGGGGTTTTTATTTGGAATAATAGAAGTATTATAGAAGTATAAAACTAAATATAGAAATATACAATCAATATGGAAAGATATTTGTAAAAACACGAGCGAACGACGCCGCCTTCGGCCAAATGGAACGAGCTCAGCCGAAGCAAGGCGAGACCGGCCGAACCTGACGGGCTCGAGCGAACCGAGGCCAGGCTTGCGAGGCTGCCTGAACGGAGCCGAGCTTGGCCGAACCGAGCCCGCCGCTCTCGTGCGCGCTAATTAGCGCGAGTGCGGTCACAGCCCAATGAGCTCCTGTGCCACCCCGCGCTCCCGGTCGTGTCAGTGCGATGGCCGGGCCGCCCGCGGGACGCGGCAGCAGGAGAGCCCCGAGCCGGGCGAGTTTAACGTGAGGCGGCGCCGCTTGCCCGCCCTCGGGGAGCCGAGCCGAGCCGAGCTCAGCCGAACGCGCAGAGAGCAGCTCCGAGTTGGGCCCAAGCGAGCCAAAGCGCGCCGAAGGGACGAATGAAGCCGAATGCGGCCGACAATAGCCGAGTTTAGCCGACAATAGCCGAGTTTAGCCGAAGAGCCGACTGGAGCCGAGTGACTCCGGAGCGAGCCGAGCTCCCCCTAGCGCAGCCTCCCGGGCCGGGCGAGGCGCCGGGCCGGGCTCGGGGTGCAGCCGGGGCTCTGTGAGGCTTCCCCGCCTGTCCCTCTCTCTCGCCCTCCTTCCTTCTCCCCGTATTCGCCTTCTCTCGCTCCCTTTCCCCCATTCCCTCTCCCCCCACAAGCCCGGCTCCTTCCTGTCCAGCCCCTTCCCCGCTGCTCCCTTTCCGTTCCCCGTTTCTGCCTCCTCTGTCCACCCTCCCTCTACCCCCCTCCCGGGCTTTCCCTTCCCGTGCCGCTTTCCTGCACGGCCCGCCCTCCCTCGCCGCCCTCCCTCGCCGCCCTCCCTCGCCGCCCTTTGTCATGCCCTGCTCTCGCTCCTCTCTTCCCGTGCCCCCTTTCCTTCTTTGCCGCGCAGCCGCGGGGCTCGGGGTGCCGGAGAATAAAGGCCCGAGGGTATGGGGAGTCATCCGTGGTGCTGTTAACACAGTCAGAATGGCTCAGTGACTCTGTGCCAGGCTGGTGTGGCCTCAAAGGCTGCCCCTGCTGCTGGCAGAGTGTGTGAAGCCTCTGCTGAGCGGGCAGCGGCATCCCCCCGAACACCTTCTCACAGCAGGGACGGAGATGGACCCAGCCCAGCGTGTGGAAATGGATCTCTCCAGCTGAACGCTCAGGTGAAGCGAGCAGAGAGCATGCCCAGCATGAACCAGGTGAGCTGCACATCTCCAGGGTAATGATTCTTGCACCTTCAGAGCCACAGTATCGCTGAGCTTTTTTTTCCCCCAGGCTTTCAATCACCTCTCAAAGAGACGAATGCTCCCCTTGGAGGCTGCTGTGCCCTGGGGAGCCTGGCAGGTGGCCCCGTTGGTGAGAGGAGGGCAGCTGCAGGCAGGCAGCCCCCAGGAAAACACGGGAGTTTCAGTGGTTTCTGATGCCTGAGGAACGGGGAGGTGGCCTGAGCTCAGCAGGAGTTAAGCACGGTCGTACAGAGGCCTGGCTGTTATGATTTAAGATTGCTTATTGAATATCTGTAGTTTCTATAGATATTTGTATATCTGTCCAAGTAGGATATAGAGCCTTGTGCAGGAGAAAAAGAACTCTTTATGTAAGATGTGACCTGGGGGGGCATCATGCCAGGCTATCCCTTCCAGATTTGGAAGTCTTCAGTGTTTTGTGTGGCATGATGGGAAGTTTTGAAAATTAAGATTTTCTCCTTGGTGCAGGTCAGATGGGTGACGCCTGGCAGCTCGTGCACTGCCACTGTGCTAACCTGTGTGCCTCTCCTTCCCTCCCTGCTCCACAGGCAGAACAACACGGGAGCAGCAGGGAGAGCTGGCTTTGTCCTGGAGGATCCAGGAGCTCGCGGTGGATATCTGAGCCTGCAGCTCCAGGCTGCCGCAGGACCCAAGGGCTGCACACACCCAGAGTGTGCAGGTACTCTCAGAAACGTGGGCTGTCGTGGCTGAGCCCTCAGGAGCTGGCGGTGCCAGCTGGGAGAAGAACAGTAACTTCCAGCCTTTTCTTTTGTCTGCGTTTCCCCTGTTCAGTCAGTCTGATTACTTCTGGGCATTTGCCCAGCAGGGTGTGAAATGCGTCAGGGGCTAAAGGGGGAAAAAAGGGGAAACACAAACTATAATCCACACCTCAGGAGGGAGAAGACATCTGTCAGGACAAACTCTTAAGAGAAATGGGATGAAGAATACTGGTTTACTCAGTCTTTCCTATCTGTAGCTAGTTCAAAGAGGTCTCACAGCAGAGCAAAGGAAGAACAGCAAAGCCCTCAGGCTAAGCCATTAAAAGCAGCAGCAGCAGCAGCAGCAGCAGCTTTGTGTGCTGGAGTGTGGCAGGCATTCCTAGGTTTGCTTTTTGGTTTTGCATCTAGCACTGGTAGAGGAAAGTTCTTTGCAAGGTGATAGTTCCAGCCTTGTATTGAAATGTGAGCAAAGAGGAACTTTGTCAGTTGGATTGGGGTTTATTCACAGCACTTGTAAACAGAGTTAACATTCAGATAACATGTGCAGGGAGTGTGTGCTGTGGGTTAGCACAAGTGACAAAGGAAGTGGGACAGGGACAGGGCACTTTCCTCTTCAAGGTACTGTTTTTTTCTGGAAGAATGATGTGAGAGCAGAAAAGTTGCAATGGCATTGCAGTTCCCTGCACAGAATATACCCAGGGAGGTGAAGCACAGCCCAGTGGTGCCATTCACCTGCACCCCAACTGGGAGCATCAGTGAAGTGAGGAGGACTGAGGAGCTCTCCCCTTGAGCAATCACAACACTCATGTCAATGAGTGTCACCCTTTTCCAGACCACTGGCATGTGCTTGGGGACAATAACCTGTGTTTTTTACAGCCAGGTCTTCTGAGCCGCTGCTCGCTGCTCACAGTGAAAAGAAACTTGTCTACAGGCACTCTGCAAAATTGTCACCTCAGATGCCACTGAAGCACAGCTTTGGCTTTCAGGCATCTCCCCTGCAAGCTGTCCCTTGCGGCGTTTCCGCACTGGATTCATTGTAAATTCATTCCTCCCATTTTTTATTTGTAATTTCCAAAGAATATCAGTCAACTTTTACGGCCTCTTCAGGGCTCCCCAAGCTTCATACCACACCTAAATGCTCGTTTTCACTGCCTGAAGGGCTTCTCTCACCCGAGTGATTCTATGAATTTGGCCTGTACTTCAGCTTAAGGGGAAAGCTGTACATTGATTGCATTTTGGAGAAAAAGATTTGACCGTCCAGCTGTAAATTTATCTTGTGTTTTGCCTTCCAGGTTCGCTCGTATTGTAATTTGCAAATGGCACGGCAAATGCCACGAGAGCAGCTGGTGAAGGTGGCTCAGAAGCAATGACAAGAATGTGCTGCAAAGTTGGGTCCAGCAGTCCAGCTTCCCGACAGGGTAGGGCAGACACACCTTTTGATAAAGCATCAAACGCTGTAGTTTTTATTCTTTGTGTTTGTCTGTGCTCCCATTCTGATCACCCCTTGAAGTATTATTTTTCAAAATGATATCTAGGAGAGAAATCATGTTTATTCACGGGGAGCCATAATTTTCATCTGTTCCAAATGCACCAGGTGTGTTTTAAGGCCTGCACACACAGCAAGAGCCGCAGAGCTTGTAGTGCAGTTTACTGCAGCACTGATTTATTCTGTATTCCAGTAACCATGCCCTGGGCTGCCAGCCAGGCTCAATGCCAGGAGCGGGAGGAGCAGACCCGAGAGGTGCTTTGGGTGGAGCCCAGCCAGATTTCAGGCAGCCCGCAGAGTCTGCCCTTGCAGTCCACGCCGGTCTGCTGTTGCCATCTGCTGGAAAAATCCCTAATGGATATTTCCAAAGGTGGGGAGGAGCATCCGCTCCTGTCACGGACCTGCTGGGGGCTCTTTGCCCTCTGGCTCCGTGCGCTCTGCCCAAGAACAGCGTGTGCAGCAGGCTGTCACCGCTCTCTGCAGGGTGAAGCACCTTCAGCCAAGGTCAGTGCAAGAGCAAAACAATCCTGCCAGCAAAGCCTGCTACTAGAGAGGCAAACAATGATCCTTCCAAAGGAATTCATCCTTCTTCTCCCTTACAACTCTCCTGTGTCATCACACCGCAGAATGGTTTGGGGTGGAAGAGATCTTGAAAACGACCTAGTTCCACCCCTGTCCTGGGCAGGCTCACCTTCCTCTGGGCCAGGGTGCTGTGCTGTCGCAGATCAGGTGGCAGATCTGTGGAAATTGTAATGATATTATTAAGGCGTGTCTCTTATTGCCTTGCCATTCGTGAATCCCGAGGCTGTCTTGTCCTAGTTTAGCTTTCTGATGTGGAGGAGCTGAACTGCCAACTGATATGGAATTTGGTGCTCTCTGTGGAGTGACGTCCTGTAAAATTTCTGTCCCAGGAATGCTGTCACAATGGCTCTGCTCCATAAAGAATGACACGGCCTGACTGTCAGCAATTTTTGCTTCTGCAATAGTGTAAAAATGCTAAAATTTTAACACTGCTTATTATTTCAAAAGAGAATATTTTAAAACTGGAAGTGATAGCTAAAATTACGCCTGAAAGGTAGCAAGAGCAAATCCATAGAATATTTCTCCCTGTTTGTAGATATACTTTTCATTCAAAATTATGTTGATGGGGATATGCTTTTATGTATTTAGTGACCTTTACAGATTTCTTCCCCGAGTTTTTTGAGTTCATAGAATCATGGAATAATTCAGGTTGGAAGGGGCTCTAAAGATCACCTCGTTCCAAGCCTGCTGCCGTGGGCAGGGCCATGGTTCCATGGACCAGGTTGCTCTGAGCCTGATCCCAGAGCACCAATGGGCCTCGAACACTTCCAGGGATGGGGCAGCCCCAGCGTGTGTGAGCAACCTGTGCCAGCCAGGTGCCAGAGGAGGAAGAAAGCCCTTCCCAGCTGGACCAGAGGCTGCTGCAGCATCGCGCAGCCTCGTGTCACCGAGCGTGTGAGACAGAAGGGCCCTTCCCGTGGAGGGAGAACGGCACTGAAAGATCTTTTTTGGGAGAAGCGGAGCAATGGAACGCCAAAGCAGCCTTCAGTTCTTGCAGCAGAGTTGGGAACAACTGGAAGCAGGAGCAGAGCTGGCCTGGTGCCTGGCAGCTCTGCAGGCAGTGGGGATGGAGAAGGTGCAGTTGTCTGTCTTCTTGGCTGAGTCTTTAAAAATGAGGCACTTTTCTGTAGTTCCTTTTCAAGCATTACGTGGCAGTTGCCCCTAGAAGTCCAAAGGCAGCTGTTTTCTTAGCAGGAGGAAGTCAGGAAGAGGCAAAGCAGGCAAAGACATCAGATAAGTCTGGATAAAAATCTTGGCTAACCTGTTTTTTCCCCCTCCTCCAAACAGGCAATTCTGAAGCGCTGAGCAGAGATCTGCCCCCGGGAGGCAGAGCAGAGCCGATCTGTGAGAGCTGACACGGGAGCCGTGGTGAGGACAGCTGCTCCCCTGCCTCGGTGTGGGACCTGCTGAGCTGCCGTTCCTGTGCTGGGAGTGTTTCTCCTCTCATGCAGGCAAGCCAGAGAGCTCCGGGGAAGGAGCAGGTAAGGTTGAAGTACCGAGATCTCCCCAGTAAGAAGTGACGTGGCAAAAGGAAATGGCCTCAAGTTGCAGCAGGGAAGGCTCAGATTGGCTTTGAGGACCAATTTGTTCACTGAAAGGGTGGTCAGGCGTAGGAGCGGGCTGCCCAGGGCAGTCCCCATTGCTGGAGACATTTGAAGCATGGCAAGATGTGGTGTTTAGGGACCTGATTTGGGTGGGGGCTTGGCAGTGCTGGGGCAGCAGCTGGGCTCGATGGCCTTAGAAGGCTTTTGCAGCCTAAAGGATGCTATGGTTCTGGAAAGCCTCGACCCCTCTGGCTCCGACACAGCACCTGGATGCTGACGGAAGGAGGCTGGTCATGGAGCCTGGAGGTGCCTGTGCCACAGGGAGGGAGAGGACAAGGCAGTGTCACCTGCAGGGAGGGTCTCGTCCCCAGAGAGCGGCCAGTGACTCCATCCGTGCCCGGGGCTCTGGGTGCACCCTCGGGGTGGACACCTGCCCTCAGGTTTCCCTCTGGGCACCCGGGGAGGGAACCGGGTCCATCCGTGTGGCAGCTCCAGGGCCTGCAGGCTCTGGGGCCCTGCAGCCGTGCGCCCTGTCACAGGGCGGCAGGGACGTGACACTGCCCGGCCGCGCCGCTGGCCTGGGATCCTTGCTGCTTTCCTCCCGATCCCACATGGCTGTAGCAGCAATCTTGTGTCTTTTCTTTAAAAGTGTCCTTGGGAGAGTTCAGAGAGAGGGTAATTAGTTATGTCAAAGCCTACATATTTGACCTGTTGGCACTCAAGAGAAAAGACAAAAACCTGCTTGGCACCCTTGTGCCTGGAAGTCATTGTGACCCAGGGAAGCGAGGAAGGGGCTGGCCGAGGTCACTGAGGCTCTGAGATGGAGGTGAGTTTGCATTCCAGTTGATTGGAACGGAGGCTCATCAGAAGTTTCCTCGGCTATCCAAGGCACAGAGCCCTGGAGCCAGGTAAGCCTGATCTGCTGCATGCTTGCTGTGAGCTTTGGGGTGAGGGTGCATCGTTGCAGGCCTGGGATGGATTGAAATGCGCTGAGGAAAGCAGAGGGAGGGAGGGAGGGAAATGCTCTGTTAACTTGTGCCAATTGTTCTGTCAGACTCATCACGGCGGGACAGCGTGAAGACTGAAAGTGTGAGAAGATGTGGAGGGAAACAGAGAATCTGACAGCAGCAGCGAACGCACGAGTGCACGAATTTTGCTTTTTGCTTGGATGTAAACTCAGGAGTTGAAAGGAATTTGGGAGTGAGAAGGGACATTTTAGAAGGAGAAGAAGAAAAAGAAGTTGTTGTTGTTGTTACAGTCCTGGCAAAATCTTTTGTTCTAGCTAATAAAAGTTGTTAGTTTAAAAAACAAAAAGAAAAAAAAGTAGTGTTTTTCTTTTACTTCACTGTTACATTCATTGGTGGTATATGGTGTGTTGTTTTATTTCTTGGTATTGTTAGCTCTGTGTAAATTGTTTTTTGAGTGAAGCTGACTTTCTGGATGGGTTGGTTTGTATTTGAGGCAGCATTAATTTCAATGGGATTGTTTCATAGATTTCTGATGGGTATTACTGGGATTTTGGTTTTGTTTGTTGTATGTATAAACATAGAGCTTTGGTAGGGCCAGCTGGGCTGCTGGAGTTTTGGGTGTGAATTTATGAGATGGCTTTTGTTAAATGCAGTTTTTAATTTTTGAAATGTTTTTCAATGTAGTGGTTTTAAGGTGGTTTTTAAGAATTCATTGTATTGTTTTCTGTTGTTTGTAGTTGGTGTATGATAAGGGATGTGGTGTGACTTCTTGAACGCTATGGTTTTGGTGTTCCTAAGTTCTGATTTCTTTCTGGTTCGATAGTTTTTTTTATTTTTATTTTTTGGGTCAGGGGCATTTATATGGTGGGTTTTTATAGGCAATACGTTTTTGAATTTAGGTAGTGATATTTTTTAGTATTTTAATAGTTCAGGTTTTTTATTTTCATGGGTTTAATTATTTTTTTTAATTTTTTCAAATAACTTTTCGAGATGATAGGTTATTATTTGTGCATTAGCATAAAGGTAGAGCTTTGGGGACTTTTTTTAGTACTGTTCAGGGTCAGTTGTACAGTTTTGAGTCTAGTGAGTTGAATTTATTTAATTGTTAATGGGTGTTTGTTTTTATTAGCAGTTGTGTCACTTTCAAGGTGCATTTGAGTTTTTTGGGGTTTTTGAGATAGTGGTTTAGGAGGAAGTTTATGATGAGAATGTGCGGAGGTTTTGGGCTACTTTATAGTGGGATTTGAAATTTATTTACAGTTAGGTTTATTTGAGTTTTTATTAGGGTTCAATGACGTTGCGGGATGTTTCTTCCGTTAGTAATAGCAATGGGTTTTGTTTTGATGCGCTGCGATGGGACGAGCGCGTGCTGTGTGCCGGTGCCGACAAAGGTACGGTATTGTTGTGGTTCTGGTGCGTGGGGTTAATGAACTTGTATGGTTTAATATAGAGATGAAAATAGAAATAAATATAAATTTAAAAATAAATATAACATTAGAGTGGTAAACATAAATATAGATAACAGATACATACATAAAACTGTAATACATGGTATATAATTGTAACATATTATCATATAGATAAATGATAGTCTGTTATATATATACACACAAAGATATGTCAATATAGATTGTAAATATAAAAATATTTAAATAGAGTTAAAATAAATGGGAGGTTTTATTAGGTTATAGGCTGGGGTTTTTAAATAAATGACAGAAATAAAATATCAATTCAGATATACAAATATATATACAAATACAAATCTCTATAAATATTTAATTTAAATAAATAAAAGTAAAAGAAATATACAATACAGAAAATATATATCTATTATTATATTAGAAGGTATTCTCTCTAATATATATAATATCTATGAATAAAATAAATAAAAATATCCATATAAATATCATTATAATTTTGAAAAATAAATTTACTTCCTACATTTTAAATCTGGTTCAAATAAAGGGGTGTCCTTGGTTTTTATTTGGTTAGAGGCAGGAGTTTTATTTTAAATAATATAAGTAATATAGAAATGTGGATCTTAAGATAGAAATATATAATATATAAAGAGAAATTGCTAAAGTATGAATATAAATTTATATATAACTATATGTAAGTAATATGAAGAGTTGTAGTATAAAATATAAATAACATTATATGGGAATATAAATATAAAAATATGTAAACACAGTTTAAAAGAAAGGGAATGTTTTGACTTTTATTTAAGTAGAGGCAGGGGTTTTATTTTGAATATTATAGGTGTTAGAGAAGTAAAAATCTTGACGCAGAAATATTTATTCAATGTATAAAAATATGTATAAAAATATATAAATAACTACTTGCATCAGATGTAATATAGAATAAAAATTTATTTATAACTTGACACTGGTAAAGATAAATGTATAAGTAAGCAATAGGCATTAGTATACATTATAAATACAAATATTAATATAAAAATCAGACATAAGGATAAAACCTATTTAAATATTTTTAAAAGAACGGGTTGGGGTCTTTTTTATTATTGGGTTAGAGGCAGGGTTTTTATTTTAAATAATATGAATGTAGATATTATTGTTAAATATTTCTAAATATTGAGATATAAAATCAAGATATAAATATATATAAACACAAAATATAAGTAAATCTAAATAATAGGAAGAGAAGCAATGGAGAATACAAATAAGAGTATACATTAGTATACATTTTAAATGTAAAAGTGAATATGAACCTGAAAAAAAGAATTTTAAAAAATATTTAAATACAGTTGAGAAGAAAGGGGTTCGTTTTGGCTTTAATATGGGGAGAGGCAGGGGTTTTATTTTAAATAATGTAAGTGTTGCAGATGTAAAAATCCTAACACAGAAAGATATAATAAATATATAAAGATATGAATAAAAGTATATAAAAAATATAAGTAATAGGAACACATGTAACATAGAATATAAATTTCTAAATAAATCGCTAAATATAAATGCAAAATCGATCATACATCAGTAAACATTTAAATTGTACATTTGAAAAATATTTTTTAAAAAATTTTAAATACAGTTGAAATGAAAGGGGGTTTTATTTGCCAAGTATGGGGTAGAGGCAGCGGTTTTATTTTGACTACTGTGAGTGTTACAGAAGTAAAAATCCTAACAGAAATATATACTTGCTATGTAAAAATATGTATAAAAATATACAAATAAATGCACAGAGCGGCTCCGAGTTCGGCCGAATGAAGCCGAGCCGTGGCCGAGCGCACGGAGAGGCTCCGAGTTCGGTCCGATGAAGCAGAGCCGCGCCGAGCGCACGGAGAGCGGCTCCGAGTTCGGCCGAAGCGAGCCGAGCCGCGCCAAGCGCACGGACAAGCTCCGAGGTCAGCCGAAGCGAGCCGAGCCGCGCCAAGCGCACGGAGCGGCTCCGAGTTCGGCCGAAGCGAGCCGAGCCGAGCCGAGCGCAGGGAGAGGCTCCGAGTTCGGCCGAACGAACCCCAGCCCCGCCAGGCGCACGGAGAGGCTCCGAGTTCGGCCGAAGCGAGCCGAGCCGCGTCGAGCGCACGGAGAGCGGCTCCGAGTTCGGCCGAAGCGAGCCGAGCCGAGCCGAGCGCACGGAGAGCGGCTCCGAGTTCGGCCGAAGCGAGCCGAGCCGCGCCGAGCTCACGGAGAGGCTCCGAGTTCGGCCGAAGCGAGCCGAGCCGCGCCGAGCGCACGGAGAGCGGCTCCGAGTTCGGCCGAAGCGAGCCGAGCCGAGCCGAGCGCACGGAGAGCGGCTCCGAGTTCGGCCGAAGCGAGCCGAGCCGCGCCGAGCGC